GCCCGTGCGCGGCAGGCCAATCGGCGCCGCGGGGGGCCGCGTGATCGGAGCCTGGGCGCGGCGTGATCGGGCCGGGCGGGACGCGGCACGTGTTTTGGTCGGGGCCGGGGGCGGGGCGCGGCGCCGGGAAAGTAGGGGAAAGGTCCCGGCGGCGCTGCGGCGGGGAAGTCCCGGCCACGGCGGGCTGGCGGCGTACGCTCCGGACCTCAACCCTGCGTTCGCCCGCTGTTTTCAATGTCACTTTATCCACGCGCGGCTGTTGGGTGCATGCTCGGCCGGGCAGAGGGCTGAGCCTCGGCGGCCGCAGTAACAGCCCTGCGGGCGCGCCGTCCCGCGGTTCTCGCACGGCCGCCTCCTGCGGCCTCCGATTTGTCGCGCGTCTGAAACCCGCCCTCCCCCCCCCCCCGAGCAACCCCCCGGGGGTCCTAGGGCTCCCTGCGTGTCTGGTGGAGGTGATGGCCTACTCTGCGTGGCTCTGTCCCCAAATCCCGCACACAGCAGTGAGACCCCGCCCGCCCTGAGCTTGTGTTCGCGGAGCTCTGACAGCGGAAGCGCGGTGCGGAGATGCTCAGGGCAGACGTCAAAGGACACCCGAGCAGTTGCTGGCCCGGCCCGGCTCAGGAGAAGGTGGGGTGCAGGACTCCTGCCACCCTGTTCCTCACAGGCCTTGTCTGGTTGACCAGAGGCCTTGAGTCGGCTAAACAGAGGCTATCTGTTGAAAGTGACGGTAGGACGAGTCAGGCGTGGTGGTGCAGATCTGTAATCTCACTATTCTGAGAGGCTGAGGCGGGAGGGCCCCAAGTTCAAGCCCAGCATGGCAACTTGAGAGAGACCCTGTCTGAAAACAAGAAATCAGAAAGAATAAAAAAAAAAAAGTCAGAAGGAGGCGTCTCCGAGAAGGGCAGAGAACGATCTGCATTAGAACTTGGCAGTTCTCTTCTACCTGGTCGCTCTAACCAGAGCCCTGTGTCCCTACCTGTCCTAGCATCGCGTTCCCCCCAGCACCTAGGGACCCTCAACCACTGAGCTGTAGCCCCAGTCCTTCTACGTTTTTTGTTTTGTTTTTTGAGACAAGGTGTTGCCTAGTTCAGGCTGGCCCTGAGCTCACTGTACAGTCCAGACTGAGCCTTGTAATCACTGCGATCCTCCTGCCCCAGCCTCCCAGTGCTGAGATTACAGGCATGGCCCAGCCTACTTTTTGTTTTGAGACAGCTTGCTGAGTTCTTGAAATCTTCCTGTCTCAGCCTCTTGAGTAGCTGAGAACACAGGCATGAGCCACCATACCTGGCTCCGGCTCCCCTGTCTTGTCTGGCCTTTCTTTCTCTCAGCAGCAATGAGATGGGCAGCTTTAACTGCCATGCCTTAGTACCATCATGTGTCTGTGTGGCCTTAGTCGTAAATGCCACAGAGGGCGGGTGTGGTGCCCAACTGTGATCCTAGCACTGGGGAGGATGAGGCCGGAGGATCACCGTGAGTTAGAGGATGGCTCAAGGCCAGTCTGAACTACACAGGGAGACCCTGTCTCAAAAACCAAAAAATAACAAAACAGAGGCAGCTGAGCATGGGTTAAACTCTGAAGCTGAACAAAACAAGACTTTATCTCCTTATCTTTCTCCCGGAATGGGGATGAAAAGCTATGGGGGGGTGGATAATGAGGGTTAAGTACAATAGCCAGGGGCAGCTCTCTGGAAGGCATTTGTGGTTTTACACAAAGAAGACAAAGCTGGGCCTGGTGGCCCATGCCTCTCACCCCAGCTCTTCGAGGCTGAGGCAGGAGGACTGCCAGTTCCAGTGCAGCCTGGGGAATTTGATGACTTAGTGAGAACCTTTTTCAGAATTTAAAAATAAAAGGGGGGCTGGGGAAACAGCTCAATGTAAAGGTCCTGGGTTTGATCCCAGCTCTGGAAAAAATAAATAAATGAATAAAGGATGAGAGAGTTGAGAGCTAGCTCACTTGCTGGGGCCGCACCAGATGTGAGCAGATGCCGCAGTCGAGCCCTCAGGCTTCCCGACCACCTGGCCAGGCATTTTGTTGTGACAGAAGACAGCAGTTGGCACTGAGGTGCTGGTTGAATGAAGTCTGGGGAGCAGGGAACCCCTGCCCCGAGGCTTCTGGAGCAGCTGTGCTCGAGGCCCTGCTGGTACTGGCTGGCAGTGAGGACCCAGGGTCATGCGCCTTCCTCCTCCCGGGCACCTAGTGCCCTGTCCACCCGTCACAGGCCCAGGGCCAGCCCTGCACACCCCACAGTGCTGCAGCCTGTGACCAGAGCCCAGCCGTGGGCCAACAAGGGACACAGCAGTTCCGGCCACTGCCCTCCCCTCCCCAGCCACTGGCCAGGCTGAGGCAGGGGAGCTGCCGTTCCACCTGTTCTCCTTGCTGTTGTTAGTTACCGTTTCTTCTCTCTCTCTTTTCTTCTTTCTTTTCTGAGGATTGGACCCGGGTCCTTCCCACTGAGCTACATCCCCAACCCTTTTTTTATTTTTTGAGACAGTGTCTTGCTAAGTCAATAAGTCAATCGGGCTGGGCTCAAATTTTTGGTCCTCCTGCCTCAGCCTCCAGAATGCTGGGATTGCAGATGTGCATCACCATGCCTGGCTTTATTTTTATTTTAAGATAAAGTCTGGCTAAATTGTCAAGAAGCCTAGGTGGAGCTGCTCCTGCCTCGGCTGAGATTACACTCCTGTGCCACCTCGCCTGGCTTCTTAACACAAGACACTGAAAGGGCCCAGGGAGAAGCCAGGACGCTCCCATGCCAGCAGTCCCTGACCCTGAGCCTGGAAGGGGTGCTACCCTGTGGCCTGCCAGGCCAACCCAGACTTCGGCCTGAATAGGTCTCAGGGGGTCTGCAATCGGAATGTCTAACACATTCCCTGAGCCCTTGACACATAGTCACCCAGGATCACAATAAGGACTTCTGATTTATAGAAAAAGAAAAAAAAGAAAGAGATACCTCAGGGTATTTC